GCGCCCCTCGCCCCCCGGCTCGGCCCAGCGGGCGCCGTTCCTGCCTAGCCCCCTTTCTTGCGCCCCGAGGGTCCAGGGACGGTGACAGTATCCCGCCCGCCGCCGCGACGGTCAAGGGCACTCGGGAGACCTCGCGCTCATCCTCTACCGCAAAGCGGGTTCTAACCGGCCCGCACCCACTTCCGGGGCTGAAGCGTGACTTCAATTAGCGGCGCACCGTCCAAGCGGGGTCTCTGCTCACTTTCTCCTGCCCCGGGGCAGCCGACAGAGGAGGACAAGCCGGCCGTTCCCGACGCATTTTAGCCTAAAAAGCAAGATCTCCGGCTGGAAGTCCATTTCCGCCCCACCCCCACCCCAGAGGCGCGGAGGGGGAGGGGTGCGGTTTGGTAAAGCTAATAAAAAGTTACAACCCTGTTAAATGCAATTGAAGGGCTAGACCTCTGGAAGATAATTAAATGCAGTTTATTATAATTATTAGCTTCTAATTTGCACGATTATCAAGAAACAGGAGATTGGAAAACTGAGTTACTGGCATAGTTGTCTTCAGACCAATACTTTGGAATTAAACTTCTAAAATATTCCAAATAGTTGAGGGAACGGATGTGTTGGAAACCAGCAAAGACACTTTACACACCGCTTCGCAGGCAGCCCTCGCAGGGAAAGTCTCGGGTTTTATTCGTGGGGGAGGGGAAGATAAGAAACATCTGTTACACGAATCCCATCGTCCTGGGCACGAGTGGTAAACACGCGCCGCCCTACGGCCGCCGAGGGGCCCCAGCCTTCTCCCAGGCAGGCACCCACCTTTTTTCCCCTTCTTTTTTCTTTGGGACAAATTTTAAAAGGAACCAGTCTTTTGTTAAAACAGACTGAAAAATCCCACCAGCCCATCAGTACCTCCTTCACCCCAACCCATTTTTATTGCTTTTTTTTTTTTTTTTTTTTTTGGAAAGGGGAAAACAAAAAGAAAAACAAAGGCCCCAAACAATAAAAATCCACTTATAACACACAAACCAACCCCAAAACGGCCACCCTGAACCGAGGGAGGAGTTTCAGTCGGCGGGGGGGAAGCTCAGGGTCTCAAAACTCCAGAATATCCACTGAGTTCGCTGAGGGTCCTCTAAAACTCCAGAGAGCACCAGAGTGGGGTGTGTGGGGTGATCCGGCAAGAGCTAGGAAAGGCGCAGACCTTCAGGCTGCAGATGAGGGCACGGGGCACTGCTCCCACCCGCGGTTGCCCGCCTCTGCCTCCTCCGATTTTATTCTTCTCTTCCCTTCCCTTAGAAGGTTCCCAAGTACCGCGTGGACACAGAGCAAATGAGTTGGGATGGACGGGCGGAAAGGAACTAAAAACAAATCCAGGTCTACACCGAAAACATCCCGAGGCTCCACAGGCACAGCGCGGGCTGAGGCCGCAGAACCGGCTCCCGGGTCCCCCGGCCGAGCCCGGGGCCCCCAGATCCCAGTCCGGGGCGGGCTCCTGGGGACCCCACCCACGCTTCGGCCGGGGAGCTCTCCCGCTCTTTTCTTCTTGTTTCTTTTAAATAGAAAATATATAATTACATTTGCAAAGACTATTTACAATTCTAATTACAAACCTGGCGGGGGTGAGGCCGGCCTCGGGGTGGGGTCCGGCCTACGGGCCCCCCTCACACGGTGGTCTCCCCACGCCGGCCCCGCGCCAGGCGCGCGTAGAACTTGCGCCACGAGAATAACATGCCCTCTGTTGGTATTGGAATTAGGATCATAATTGCCCTCGATGGTCCCTAACACCTGAAATCAAGATACCAAGAATAAATTAACAATCTGTCTCATCTGGATTTCTTAAAGTTGTAAATAACCTGAGGAGAGTGAGGATAACAGGTTTATGACTTGGAAACATCACTGGAGAAATCATACCCGTTGTGGCTTCCATTACGGAAGAGTCAACAGCAAGCCTGTAGTCTTCACACTGTACATGTGGCAGTGCTGGCTGACCCAGGAGCGCTCCCAGCGCTCGCGGAAGGCCTGCTCGTAGAAGTAGCAGGCCAGCACGATGGTGGCCGGCACCGTGTAGAGCACAGAGAAGACGCCGATGCGCACCATGAGGCGCTCCAGCTTCTCGGTCTTCGTGCCGTCGTGCTTCATGACGGTGCGGATGCGGAAGAGCGACACGAAGCCGGCCAGCAGGAAGGACGTGCCCACGAACAGGTACACGAAGAGCGGCGCCAGCACGAAGCCGCGCAGGGGGTCCAGGCTGTGTAGCCCCACAAAGCACACGCCGCTCAGCAAGTCACCGTCCACCTGGCCCAGCGCCAGGATGGCCACGGTCTTGACGGCCGGCACGGCCCAGGCCGCCAGGTGGAAGTACTGCGAGTTGGCTTCGATAGCCTCGTGGCCCCACTTCATGCCGGCCGCCAGGAACCAGGTGAGCGACAAGATCACCCACCAGATGGAGCTGGCCATGCTGAAGAAGTAGAGCACCATGAAGAGGAGCGTGCAGCCCTCCTTCTTGGTGCCCTGCACCACTGTGCGGTAGCCGTCGTCCGAGAAGCGCTCGTTGCACACAGCGCGCTCCTGCAGCAGGAAGCCCGCGATGTAGGCCACGGACACCATGGTGTAGCAGCCGGACAAGAACACGATGGGGCGCTCGGGGTAGCGGAAGCGCTGCGTATCCACCAGGTAGGTGGTGACAGTGAAGAAGGTGGAGGCGCAGCACAGCACGGACCACGTGAGGATCCAGAGGCGCGCGAACCGCGTCTCCTCCTGCGAGAAGAACAGCGCGCCGTCGGGGCGCGCGGGCTCGCAGGGCGCGGCGCAGTCGCGCTCGCCC